TGATTCCGATGGAGAAGGGTGTCCATTGTGAGCGTAGTAGAGCCGGCGTACGTCATATTAAAGGTTGGATAGCTATGGTTACTCTGGAGAGCAAGGGCTACGAGATCGAGCTCATCCTCAATATCCTCTATAGTAACATCCTCACTACTAAAGTTTGCATTGTCTCGAGCAGAGAGCTTCTCCTTACAGATTGCAGCTGAGAAGTGGCGCCAGTGCAATGTGTGTAGCCGAGGAATCTGAGCACGAGCACATGCCCTTTTCAGACAAGCCGCAACGGTTCCATCAGGCCATACTTTGCCATCGAGTGTAGTCCAAAGATACGGCGAAATTAAAGCTTTGGGCTCTCGCTGCCGGAGGAAGACTTGACGGAGCGGTTGAACGCACCCCAAATACTGAAGCAGGAGATCTCCAAGGTCTTTAGGCAAGAAGCGGATATTGTCCTTGTAGGCGCCAGACTGCTGCTGCCCCTTATGATACTGTGTAAATATCATAACAAGCTTCTCCCAGATCATAATATGTCTCTGTCGTGACGTGTTACACCACAATATAGATAGAAACTCTGGCTCCCGCAACGGCTGGCCTGCTGTAATGTGACACAAGATGAGCATTCGCTTAAGAAAGTCCTGGACTTTTGCCTCGTAGACATCTATAGCTCTAGGGTTGAAAACTATAGCGCCATCTCGACCCTCGACTAGGAACATAGACCGAAGCTCTGGGTTTCGCTGTATACGCTGGAGAAGTGCACCCTCGGAACCCTTGAGCAGCTCTATATTCTCTGGGTTGGTGAGCCAAGACTCTCTAAAGTCTAGCATGTCTAGATCGTCCTTTAGTTTCCATGACTGGAGTGGGATGAGATCACTGGCTTGGAATAAGAGGTCCTGGTATAATATTGACTGTGCCTGTGTATATTCTGACCAAACAAGCTTTGGGATATGCGACATATGGAGATCTGTCCCTCGGTATCCGACTGTCTGCTTGTCAAGAGACCACCGCGCTTGGTGTTTTGCAAGTTGTCGCTTACTGGTCTGAAATAAATATAGTCTCCATTGAAGGATGTGCCCGAACGGAGTCTCAGCAAGCTGCTGGAAGAACTGTTTACAGATCTTAGACAAGAATATAGGAATTTGGTTCTCGTCCTCCTGCTCTTGAAAGCATGCATAGTCGAAGATGAGAAGCTGGGCTGTCCAGGTTAGGGCTGACAAGTGGCTGCTGAATATCCCCGGCTCCTTCCACTGCCCTTTGACCTTAATTTCCTCTCCTTCAGCAACTTTAGTTATGCGTACTGACCTGCCTAACATGGCACAGAAGCTTAAGATGGGCGACCGGAATGGCACACTCCCAACGACGTGGCAGATTAGAGCTAAGAAGAATCGCCGGAGGAAGTGCTTAAGAACAGCGTCAACGTCTTCTTCATTCTCGTCTGGTTTGTCCGTGGCAGCTTTGATTACATCATGTAGAGCTTTCTGCTGTGATTCCGTTGGCTGGATAATATGTTTCGGGACTTGGTGAGATGGCTCTCTCTGTGTAAAGTGGCCATCCTCGACATAGGCTACTCGGTAGTAGAAGACGACGAGCTGTGTCCAATTGTTGAAGTATTGCACGAGAGATGACGCCATTTTGTAGTAACGGAATGCGTCTGATTTGCCAGTGGCTCCTGCGTAGAACTCGTTGAGGATACACGCACGCTGATAGATCATTTTTCGGTCAGGTGAGGTGTCGCTACATAGCTCATATGCCTCCTGTAAGAGAGATTTAGTCGCACTAATAATGCGTGCAAGCACAGGATCGCCGACGCCACCCTCTTCCAGCTCACGGTCCGATGGCAGCTTATAAGAAGAGTAGATCTCTGCATCTTCCAAGTCCTTTAGATGGAATGGGAACCCCGTCCTCTCTAGCCACGGTACCCGTGCTGACCGGGAATCCTCAAAGTCGTGAACAATGCCAGCTTCCTTTGCTATCTCTTCCTTTATTTTTTGGTAGTCCTCCTCAATCTTTTCAAAGCATGCCTTTTCACCTTCGGTCAAGAGTGTGGCTTCATCGGCAGCCGCAAACGTATCCTTCTTTGACCTGCTGTCATCTACGACGACAAAGTAGTCAATTAGACCCTTGGCTGTAAAGTATGTCTGAAGTTTACACTCCTTCCATAATGCGCTCTTCTTGTGAGCCGCAGCTTTGACCTGATGGACAGATGGCATGTGCTCTCTCATCTTACGGACGTGACAGGTTGCGTACTGACAGGTCGACTGTAAACAGACAAAGCCAGAATAACACTCTAAGCCACTAATCACATGACATCGACCCTCAATCCCAGGCTTGTTTTCTTTTAACTCGGCAGTAGACCTCAGACTATAGCTGCATAAGAGCTCGAGAGTAGTCTTGAGTTCTGCACCCAAGAGTCGGTGTGGCTCCGCCCGCAAGTGACGCTCTAGGCTCCGACGGCCGGGAATGACACAAGACTTGCATATATGGCATACGACGACTCGGTGCTCCTGATTGTACGAAAACATGATGTTGGCACGTTAGGAAAGCTGGTTATGGGGTAGAAGTTAGCTCGTAGCAAAAAGTGCTCTTTCATCAGATGCTCTTTCACCGGAAAGTCGCTTAGTCAGCAGTTTCTTAACCAATTGAAACTCGCCATTTTGCTCTTTCGCCGAAAGAGCACCCCAAAATAATTGGTAGGGTTTGTTCTTCTTTATTTCAAATTCGTTTATTTTACTTTTATACCTTAATGCTTCTTTTTATTTTATTACTAAATCCCTTATATAATTACTATTACAGACTTCGTTATATACGACTTCATATGTAACTAATATAACTTGATTTTATTTTATATTAGACGTACTTTAAAACTAACTTATCTAAAAAAATTCTTTTCTTAAATCTAAATACTTTAATACTTTAATTCTTATATGAACTCTCATATTAAATAACCCTCATATTTGAATGTCCTATATTTTATATTATATATAAATAATATTACTTTTGTACCTAATATCTTTTATTTCGAGAATAATATAAAGAAATATATTTTATTCGGCGGAAAACCCTAACCTTTAATTCTTTTAATAAAATATTCTTAAGACTCGAATTTAATAAAGTATACTAATATAAGTAATATAAAAACTTTATTTGGCTCATCTTTATACTTTATATACGTTAATTAAGTCTTCTTCTAATTAGACTTTATATTTTAAGAAGCTAGAAATTAAGATACTTATTTTTTCTTATATAAAAAAGTACCATTTTTCGAGTTAGACGGGTTCTATTAATAATAATAAAATAAGGTCTTCATTTTTGGATTCCTGATATGAAAGATACCTTATTTCAGTTTTAAGATCTTTATATTATATATTTTAACTAGCCCTTAATTAAGAAAGTTACTTTTTTCCTTATAAAAAAAATGCCCTTTGTCGAGTTAGCGACTCCTATTAATAGTACCTTTATATGGAGTGTATTTTTGGATTTCTTATAATAATAATACCTTATGTAGGTCTTAAGACGTGTATATTTTATATTTTAGTAAGCCTTTAATTCGAAAACTCGATTTTTCCCTTATTAAAAAAAAGTACTTTTTCGAGTTAGAGACTCCTATTAATAGGGCTTATATAAGGATTTTATTTTCGGATTCCTTATATATGAGATAGCTTATTCTATACTTGAGACTTATAGATTTAATATTTTAAGTATTAAATTATACGAGAATTCGATTTTCCCTTAATAAAAAAAAAAGTACTTTTTCGAGTTAGAGACTTCTATCAATACGGCTCATATAAGGAGTTCATTTTTGGAATCTCCGTATCTTATATAGTATATTTAACCCTTAGCTTTCATAAATTGTATATTTATATAAGGTTTTCTCTCAATCTCTCGATTCTTGCTTAATAATCAAAGGTCACTTTTTCGAGTTAGAGACGTCTATTAATAGGAATATTATAAAAAGTTTATTTTTGAATTCCTTAAGTTAGTATTACCTTATTTAAGATTTAACATATTTAGACTTTATATTTTACTAAGCTTTTACTTAAATAATTCGATTATTCCCTTATTTAAAAAAAGTACTTTTTCGAGTTAGACACTTCTATTAATACGGCTCATATAAGGAGTTTATTTTTGGACTCTCCGTATCTTATATAGTATATTTAATACTTAGCTTTCATAGATTTTATATTTATATAAGGTTTTCTCCCAATTTCTCGATTTTTGCTTAGTAATCAAAGGTCACTTCTTCGAGTTAGAGACTTCTACTAATTGTACTTATATAAGGATTTTATTTTTGGACTCTCTATATATAAGATAGTATATTCTTCATTTAAGACTTACAATTTTAATATTATAAATACTAATTTAAAAGGAAATTCGTTTTTTCCTTTTATTAAATTGACTTGACCCTAATATATAACTAAATAAGCCATTTATTCCAATCCTACGGCTTGGTGGCCTGGGCTTAATTACCTCGCCCCGTGATGAGAAACAGATACTAAATTTGAGGAAACCTGGTTAATAGCCGTGGTTTTACTTGAAATCAAATAATTACTCGTGGGGCTTTAGTTTTTTTTTAATTATCTTTTTAGTCTTATATATATATATATATTTTTGCGCTTTCCAGGCCTACCTTAGCCCTAGATTAAAGTTCGTTTAAGAAGCTAACCGATTTGGGCTCGCTTAATTTAATAAGAGTTATTAAAGTTATAAAAGCTCGAGGATATAAGAGGGAGCTATTCATTTTTAAGGTTCCATCTAATCTATAATATAGACCGCATTTTAACCTATTGATAAGTGAAAAGGTCACGTGATTTCATTAAGAGCTACTCGAATAGTCTAATTTTAACATTGTGATTTTCAGAATTTAAAAGCAAAATTTATTCTTCCCTTCTCTCTTTTAAAAGAAATTAAAAAATAAAGAAAAAAAACCCCAAAAAAATTAGGGGGGCCCCACATCCTTTAACATCTAAAGGTCTCTACCTAAGAGGAGACCTTTGGATGTTGAAGGATGTAGAGCGGGGACCTACCAGGGTTCGAACCTGGGCTTTAGAGTGTAGAAACTCTACGTGCTAACTACTGCATTATAGGGCCTTTGAGTTAGTTACTGCAATTTGAATACAGTGCGTCTGGCTTGACTTATGCCATGCCAAGGAATTTTAAAAGAAATAATCCTTATTTTAATATATAAAGGCCAGTCTTGCTTTGTAAGAGTGAAGTATGAAAGTGGGAAGAAAAGTAAGAACATGGAATACTCTTCAGCTCTAAATTAAAATAAAATAGCTAAAAATAAATAGCCTTATTAAGATGAGCCTATAATAGCTCTAAATTAAAGTTCATTTAAGAAGCTAGCCGATTTGGGCTAGCCTGATTTAATAAGAGCCGTTAAAGTTATAAAAGCTCGAGGATATAAGAGGAAGCTATTCATTTTTAAGGTTCTATCTAATACATAATATAGACCCTATTCTAGGCTATTAAGAGGTGCAATAGCCACGTGATTTGATAGAGAGCTGCTCGAATGGTATAATTTCAACCTTGTAATTTTCAGAATTTAAAAGTAAAATTCACTCTTTAAATACACTTTAAGATACGGCCTAAACCCTATTACCCAGAAAAACAAAAAAAAAATTAAGATCGTGGAAATAGCCATACTCCGAAGAGTTTGTCAATTTCCACAATTAGGGGCCTTACTAGGGATCGAACCTAGACTTTAGAGCTTGTAAACTCTACGTGTTAACTATTACACTATAAGGCCTTTGCTTTAGTTACTGCAATTTAAATGCAGTGTATCTGACTTAGCTTACGCCATGCCAAGGAATTTTAAAAGATATAATCCTTATTTTAATATATGAGGCTTATTTAAATTTGGTTGCATTTTCTCCTTCTCTTTAGTAACCGATAAGGTAAGTGACCTAACTAAAATAACTTAAGGCTTCAAACCCTGTTCTGGCTCCCGTTATTAAATAAGCTAGCTATAAAGAGACTAGCTCACTTACAAAGGCCTATTAAAGCCCTAGATTAAAGTTTAATGAGAGAGAATGCCGAATGCAGCTAGACTGATTTAATAGGCGGGCTCAAAGTTACGAGAGCTCGAGGATATAAAGGATTACTACTTTTATATAAGATTCCGTCTAATCCATTTTGTAGAACCAAAATGGTGCTATTCAGTGCTATTTCTGCCACGTGACTTGCCTCAGGGCTCGCGAAACGGTATAATTTAGAAGTTGAGGTTTTCAGATTTCAAGAGGAAATTTACTTAAATCTAATATATTTGATATCTCTCGAGTATATAAGGCCCAACTAACAAGATAGGTACGTCGTTTGAGAGCCCTTCTAATGGCTCATTAAGCGAAGAGGGGGGGGGGGGGGGGGGGGGGGAGGCCAAGAACAGGTGGAGGAGTATCGGGAGTTGACGTCTAAGTAAAAATCGGCTTTTGGGGGGGCCAGGTACATGTATGAGAATAGGGGTTTTTAGAGGAACTCTTGCAAAGTTGCAGCAGTTAGTTTTCACGGCAGCACAAATTTGAGCGTTTCTAATTAGTCAAATGCTAATGGTTAAGGTGTAGGTAAAAATGACTGACGAACGCGTCCTCGAGCAATACTGGCGGGCTTATGGCGAGAGATGGATCGAGTTCTACGATAAGAGAATCAGACCAAAGTGTGCTATGGCGGCAGTGGCGGTGGGCTTCTGGCTGGAGGATTAGGAGGGAGAATCGGAAAAGGGAGAGGAGTGGGTTAGGAACTGTCTGGAAAAGGGCCTCTTCGAGGTTGAAGAAGAGTAAATAATACAAATCACATGTGGGCGGTAGTTATTTAGGGGCTACTACGAACGGGAGCTGGGTGGGGCTCTGTTTAATAACTTTTTTTTAATTATTTTATTTAAGTTCTTATTCTTGATCTTATTATAATATATTAACTAGGTTACGAACTAATTTCAAAGCTAAGCTGTAAAGGAAGAAGAGTAAGAAATTGGTCGGGGATCTCTTTAGTGCTCTTTGCTTCTATATAACGTATTACCCCAGCTCTGTAAGAGCAAGGGCTGCTACGCAATTAGCTTGGATACACTTATTCCCTTGAAGTGACGCCGTCTCTCCTAGCCAGAGCATATACTCAAGTTCGGTCTTGAAAGTCCGCCGGAAGTACTTTTGCAGCCAATCAATGCCACCCGACCGTTTCCACACCCCATAACAGAGCGGCATAACCATGTCAGGGAACCGACATTCCGTCTCCTCATGCTCCGGATCCGCTGCCCGGCAAATATCCTGCGGCTGGTAGTACTTCCAGCAAGCCACATATTGCTAAATCCAGTCCTTCTCTTCCCTCTTCCGCGTCTGGTACGCCTCGTTCTTCGCATGGATCCAGTGGAACCGCCGGGAGCAAGCACTTGGTACGTGATTGAACTTACGACCAAGGGTTCGATAATAGAGGCAATTACCTGACGTGACTTCGAGGTCTCGCTCGTAACTATTAAGCACCTGATCACGGATGTGGTCTTGCCGTAGCACCTCATCCGGACCAGTAAATTGCATTCCTCTAGTCACTGCTAACTCAAATTTCAGGTCGAGAGGCCGGGCTTCGGTATGAGGCTCTCGGCAGACCTGGCACGCCTCTTCGCCCGCTATATACCACCGCCAACTCGGCTGATCATCCAAAAACTGGCTGAGGATGCCCCGGGAGCAGTATTGCTGTGTGAGGTAGAGCTGCATTACTTCTCGATCAGCAGACAAGTGTTCGTTAACCTGGGGCTTCCACCCGGCATGTAGAAGAACGATTGAAGAAGCCTTGCTACCATCCCGCCCAGCTCTCCCAGACTCTTGAGAGAAATCAGTTAGCTTATCGGGCCCATCCACATGGATTACCTAACGGATGAAGGGATAGTCAAACCCGAACCCAAGAGCAGAGGTAGCTACAATAACCGGCTGGTCTCTATTACCAAGCCATCCGGAGATAATTATAGCTTTCTCCTCCTCGGTTCCCGACCTTGACGTGTATGAAGGACATTTGAGAATATCTATAAGCTGGGCTACTTCCTCCCGCGTCCGACAATAGATGATAATCTTGTCCCGGGAGTGGTCAAAGATCTCTTGCTTGGGCCAGTATATATGTACCAAATTAGCAGCTCTCTCAATCAAGGCACCAGGTCCAGTCTCGAGGCTGACTATATACTTTATGTTTGGCCGGTTGGTCGACTCCCGGATGACTCTGGGCTTCACGAGCTTGTTGTGCTCGATAAACTCCTCTTGCATCACAGGAGGAAGAGTTGCTATCAGCCAGACTATTTGCGTCCTGATCTGCCGGACATACCAGCCTAGCTGGGCCATGCATAGCCGGTAGTCGCTGGCCGTAATGGTGAGATGACTCTCATCAATTACAATGCGGTCTAGTTGCTGCTTGCTAACTAGAATGTGACAGTATTCAAGAAAGCCCTGAGTACACGCAGCTTTAGCTGACACAATAACCAACGAAGCTGACCGTTTGCAATCAACGGACCAGATCAGGGGCTGGATGCCTACCTAGTGAAAGCGTCTCAGCATATCACCCCGTAGAGCAACCATTAGAAGAACTAGGATTGTAGTCCCAGCACTTGAAATTGCAGCCCCAATCATGACAACTATCGTCTTTCCAGAGCCGGTTCCTATTACCAGAACCACCTGCTCGGCTAGTTGAGGCCCCATGACAGCAAGCACGCCATTCCGCTGACCGGGAACCCGGAATTGCAAGTCCGGTATATTGTACAATTTCCGAGCAACGGCTAGTAAATCAGCCTCGGAGTATGCACCTTTCCTACGCATCTGGCCACGCTTGGAAGCATCCAACATCCGTAAAGAGAGCGTCTCCGAAGCACCCCGTGGCCTCTTTCCTTAGAGAATATAGTCAAACCGAAAGAACGTACGCCAGCTCTCAGATACTCGGTAATTCCGATGTAGCAAAGCACTCATAGTAAGTGTAGTGGTGCCAGCATATGCATGATTGAATATATAGTAGCTATGGTTACTTTGTTTAGCCAAGACAACAAGATCTAGCTCGTCCTCAATGTCCTCCCCTACGCCCTCCTCGAGAGCAAAGTTCGCCCGTTCCTTGACGGAAAACTTCTCTTTAGTAATCGATGCTGCAAACTACCGCCAGTTAGACGTATGCAAGCGTGGCACCTTAGTACGAGCACATGCTTTCGTCAAGCAGGCCGAGAGCGTCCTATCAGTCCACACTATCCCGTCCAGCTTAGCCCAGAGGTATAGAGAGATAAGAGCACCTGGTGTCTACTATCTGAGGAACAGTTACCGCAAAGGCAGAACATATACAATGTATAGAAGCAACAGATCCCCGATTACCTTGGGTAAGAAGCGAATATTGTCCTTGTACTTGCCAGACTACTACTAATTCTTGTGGTATTGTGTATAGATCATTACCAGCTTCTCCCAGATTAATAAATAGCGCTACCGAGTATTGTTCCGCCATATGACCGATAATAATTCAGGCTCTCGTAATAGTGGGCCAGGTGGGATATGGCAGAGCACTAATACCCGCTTCAAGAACTCTTGAGCATGTGCCTCGTAAATGGCCATAGCCTTAGGACACAAGACCATGCTTCCATCCTTCGCCTTAGTCAAGAACATGGCCCGGAGCTTAGCATTACCTTGGATCCGCCGAAAGAGAGCTAGCTCAGTACCCCCCAAGAACTCAGAATTGCCGGGATGAGAGAGCCACGAGCCTCCAAAGTCTTCCAGATCCAGATCGTCCTTTAGCCTCCACGATTCCATTGGGATCAGGTCCTTTGCTTGGAACATAAGCTTATTATAGAGCAAGGCATGGGCTTATTGATATTCAGAAACCACCAAGTCAGAGATCTGCGACATCTGCAATTCCACCCCGCGATATTCCACTGTCTACCCGTCTAGCAGCCACCGAGCTTGGTGTTTTGTAATTGCAGCCTTTCTAGCCTTAAACAAGTATAGCCTCCACTACAGAATATGGCCAAACGGCGTCTCAGCTAGCTACTAGAAGAACCTCTTACAGATCTTGGCGAGAAAGACAGGGGTTTGATCCTCGTCGTCCTACTCTTGAAAACAAGCATAGTCAAAAAGCACAAGCTGAGCAGTCCACGTCAGAGCCGACAAATGGCTATTGAAATTCCCCGGCTCCTCCCACAAACCCCGGCCTTTCCCACAGACCTTCCTACTTAACATGGCACAGAAACTCAAGACGGGTGATTTAAACGGCACGCTGCCGACAGTCTGGCAGATCAGGGCTAGGTAGAGCCGTCGAATGGCATGCTTGAGAGCCAGCTCAGCCTCTTCCTCACCCTCAAGAGCCAAGGCTTCCACGATCTCGTCCATGGCTTGGACCTGCTATTTGGTAGGCTAGATGACGTCCCCGGGCAACCGCTAGTCTCCTAGTCGAGCTTGAGGCCAGGTGAAGTGGCCATCTTGACAGTATACTACCCGGTAGTAGTACGCTAACAGCTGCTTCATGGTCGTGAAGTAAGTAACGAGGGTTGACGCATTCTTGAAATACCGGAACCCGTCTGATCTGCCCGAAGCCCCAGCATAGAACTCGTTTAGGATATTGGCCCGCTACTATGTCATTTTCCGGTCTGGCGAGGCGTCGCTGCATAACCGGTACGCGTCTCTCAGGGCACTCTCAGCTACAACCAGAATTCGGACGAGATCAGGATCCTCAGCATCCTCACTGCCCGCATCAAGCTCTTTCTTCGGGGGCAGCTTGTACGAGCTCCAGATCTCCTCGTCCTTCAGCGTG